ATAAGGATCACTTTTACCATATGAAATACATTTTTGAACCACATAGTTTTCTTTTATTACATTAGCTAGAGCCATAACAGAGAGAGTACCATGTATAGTTCTGGTTCTGTAGATATCGAATTTGATTAGAGGAAGAACTTCATTATCAATGCGATTGTAAATGCCTGTGTTATTTACCAAACCAAATAACAATGTTTCTTTATTAATAGGTAATGTAATTGTTAGTGCATTTCACAACTTTTCAAAACTTGCCAGAAAATTCTGAACCTCACCACATTCCCAGAACATATGTACGATTGTCTCCCTTTCTCTATTACAGAAATTACAATTAGGATTGTTTGATAAGCCTATTTATGTAGTGGTTAACGTTAAATTGTAGCCAACGGAGTTTAGAATTTTGAGTTGATCGAAAAGGAATACTGTATTTTTTTCCCATTTCTCTTCATTCTAGTTATAAAGTTATAGTCATTATAGCCCTTACCGAATGTTTACTAATTCCCTATGGTTTGTTACTGACCTCCCAAGGAACAATTTAGGGTCAGTAAACACCATACAGGATGAGGCATTTCCTAATACGTTAAAATTTTGGATTTTACTGAAATAACAAAAAAGTATATGAAATCTGCTGGATGCTGTGGTAACCTTGGTGAGGTGGTCTAATGGTTAGATGTTTGGTGTGGTGGAGATTGGGTATGATAATGTCCGAGTGTGGGTATGTATATGGTAAAGATATAGAATCTTTGTCCTCGAATCTATGTAGCATACACTACAATGACACGAAACCGTCCGGGTATTGACAGCAAGCTTTTGACGTACGTCACATTTAGAAACTATTCGTCTGTTGAATATTGTTTTTTTCCAAATTTAATGTCTTTTAGACGTTGCACTTTACCGTAAATCAAGAAAACACTTACCGACAGCATTCGTAATCCGGACGAGAACATCCTCTTACAGTTATAAACGTAAACCACTAAAAACGCTTAACTATATTTAAATACATGCGTATACTGATATGGGACAAAATCAGACAGACTCTGTAATCGGAAACGTTAAAGAATGGTAAATCATGAAGTTTTATGTTAGAGAATTTTCGCACATTACCATACCATTTAATACATGTATCATACAAATTTAGCTTAAAAGACGTATAAGTAATTTAATGGATTTTAATTAGGTGGTTAAATGCCCAATGGAACAGAAACAACATTTAAAATACTTAAACTTTACCAAAACAGGTAACGATAATGTAATTTGTGGTAAAAAAACGAATGTTGAAATATAAATCATATTTGAATTGCTTCATATTACAAATGTTTACACTTATCAAAACTCCATTCAATTTCAGTACAAATGTTTGGTATAAATTCGGCATGTTCTGCATTGAATTTGATGAGGGCTAGTGCCTTTGTCAATACTTGCATCATTGTTCAGTCGTATTTTCAACAGTCAAAATGTATTTTGTAAGTCGTATTCCATAGAATGTGTTCTAAAACAACTCTTGTTATCACATGCATGTACAAAGGATCATTCGAATTCATATTACAGAATACAAGCATATTTTGTTGTTAATTATATTTTTAAATAGATTTAATATTTAAAAAACGTTGATCCACATCCCAGTGCCAAACGCTTTAAAGATGCATTGGAACATTGGAAAGAAGCTTTGATAAATCATTTATGAAATAAAACCCATACCTTTTTGGAAAACCGAAAAAAAGAAATTAACAAAACAAAGTTAAGTGGGAGTAGACCGGGATTGTAACCCTGGACTTCCGATTGTTGTTCTATTACTCTAACCGACTGATCTACATATCTACAGAAGTGGCCTGTCCCAACGGAGCTACAGATTTATCCTAAACGGAAGTTAAGGGGAGGTTACTGTAAATACCAAAAAACATAAGGCAGTCGGGCAGTTATTTTGTAGTAACCTTAAAGTCACAAAGAATATGTAAGAATACCTATCCATTATATATGTGAATTGTTTTATAGCTATTTATCGTAATTATCTCCCTACCAGTTAGATCGGTGGGAATGTAGGTCAAACTTAAAATACTGGTCGTCCGTCCGTCCTTTCGTCAATTTTGTCCGGTCAAATACTTATGAACAGCTGCATATATTCATAACCCATTCCCTCTCCCGGATATTTTTGCCGACTGGACTTGACTTTTCTGTCGCTGTCATCCTAGAAAAAATTATATTGATGATATTTGACTAAACATTAAACATGGATATTATCATAACTTAAAGGAGATTTGCGTAAAATTCCATGGAATAAAATGTCAATTACTTGTCCAGGACATAGATTTTGGACGACAAAACTGAATACTTTGGCTATGCTTATTGATTGGTATTTATATATAATGGCTTGAAGGTGCGTTACCTGCAACTTTCTGGCCGGTCCGTACCTTCGAGGTGTAGATCACAGCAAGAGTTCATGGGTTACGATTTTTTATTACGTATTCATTACTTTTGAAGAAACATATAATTACATGTAGTTAAATACATCATAACGTTAAAGCGTGTGTCGTGGTATAGCGGATCTACTACTTTAAATGCTTTAATCTGGTCGTGTGATAAGTAATTCAGAGTAAAATATATCAATGTATCCTTTCCTAAAAACCAACAAGAAAACCCATAAATCCAAACAATTTGTAAAAAAATGTATAGTATTTTTGAAAAACGATATATTTCATTTTTTTGTAATAAAGCGAATATCCTGAGTCTATTGTACAACGTATTTTAGCTCCGACATTACTAAACATGTTAATAAACAGGCCCGCCATAGAAATATCTTCAGTAAAAATGCCGACATTGACGATATTTTGTGAGTTATAAGCAAGCGATACATGAAGAGTATGCAAGTTTCAGGGAGAGTCTATCGCTAAAATCCTTATCCTTGAAGAATGTATGCGTGGTTTTGATGTTAAAATGATACCATAGGGATAAGTAAAGTTTGCTGCCAACAGTTTACAGTTTGTAGGATATCAGCTGTTCACATTTTAAGTACAGTTGGACTTTTGTGGAGGTGAATATGCAGTTATACAAACTTGAGAAAGTTATAACAACCGAGAAGATATCTCCTGCCCACTTAGTACAGCATGTACGATGTATATTGTGTGGGCGGGGTATATGATATGTACTCTGTCAGCTGTAGCGCGTAGGATAATCATCTGAAGATCATTTTTATTCTTGCTATAACTTCATGTAAAATTTAAAAACCGCAAAAGTGATATGATATATTTACATATAGAATGGCTCAAGTCTCTAGAATATTGAATGATTTAGTAAAACAATAGGCTCTAATTATTATGGGGGTTTCATAAAGCCCCGGATGTAGAAAGTGTCCATTTAAACTTTTGTAAAAAAATATTAAAGGTACGGAAAACTACATGTAATGATTTAATATACTGTGAGTTAGGAAGGTTACCTTTGTCTGTAAGTAGAAAATTAAGAGTGTTTAAATATTGGTTGAAATGAAAGCAGACGAATAATTTGATTTTGAAAACATGTTACGATGAGTGTGTGAGTGAGAATGATTTGTGGGTAAGAAATATCAAGACTGAGTTAGCAACCTTAGGACTTAATTACATGTTTGACTCTTCATTACCTTTTAATGTTTCTTTCAAAATAATAGAACAGAGACTGATAGATACTTCCAAACAAAGCATGTTGTCAAAAGTAACGGCTTCACCTAAAAGGTTTTTATATCAACACTTAATAGATAGTCATTGTATTCAATTTTATTTAAGTAAACCTATTGAAAATAAATACAAACAAATGTTAACTAAATTTAGAATATCGTCTCATAAATTAAATATAGAAATTTGAAGACATCATAACGTCACACGCAGACACCGGATTTGTAACAAATGTAATTTGAGATATAGAAGTCGAGTTTCATTTTATTTCGATTTGTCCATTTTATAGCGAACTCAGGCACAGATTAATCAAACAATTTTATTACAGAAAACCCTCGAATTTTGAATTAATACAACTAATTAGTATGAATAATGTATCAGAGCTATACAGTTTAAGAAAATATTCATATTTAGCTTTTAAGAGGCGTTAACTTAAGGTTTATGTATTGTGGTGTTTCATAACTGTAATGTGTTAATTAATTTGAGTATTGTTATATGCACATTATTCAACGGTGTTTTATGTATACTGTGATGTCACTCTGCTGTCTATTCTAATTATGTTTAGAGAATTTTATATGCATATATGTGTGTACCTCCATGTAAAAGCCTAAGTCTCTCGGTTAATAGAATAAAGAACTAAAGAACTAAAGAAGACAATTTCGAACAATTTAAATAGGGTTTGGTCCGTTTTTTTTGTAAAAACGATGATGTGTTGTTATTTATTTTATATCGAGGGGTGAATATAATAAAATATGCAAACCAGTTTAAACAGAGAAAAAAAAGTGTCATGAACTTACTCTAACCCCCTATCGATATAAGTGTCAATAAATATCAGTAAAAATAAAAAAATAAATAAAAAAGGCTCTAATTATTAATCACCTAACTCATTCAGCCCCTATATATTTACGCTGGACTTGTCCATTATTTGATTTGGAAAGGTTTAAATGTGACTTTAGGGGTGAAAGGTTAATTTAAATGTCTGATTCTAGATTTGACCACTGTGAGTTTCAAACTAGGGGGAGATAAGCTAGCAGAAAAAATGCAACTGGAAATTCTTCAAACATATTACGGGCTGGTAGCCAGTCTTTAATATACTTTACATTAACAAGCTACATTGTCCAGCGGATGTACTTAAATGAACATACGTCCACTGATGAAGTGTTTATAAGACAGGTACAATGACAGGGTCGTCTATCCCCTGGGCTGACAAGGATTACCAATGACAACCTGGGATGAGGCTAGAGCACGCGCGGTATGCTACTATCCTACACGTCTGAAATATGATCGTCACTTTATCTCCATGCTCAACAAATTTATCAGAAAGGTTTCACAACATTTGCCGCTGGCTAGGTCGGTACCAGCAGAGCGTCAGTGTCTGTGTACAAGCGAGCGCGTGCGCTACAGCTCCCGTGTACATGAATACCTATCTGATGATACAGAGCTCTTGGGGTTTCCAGAATATTCTGCATTTCAAGGAAGGTGCATATATTGTGAACCTCGCCGGATAGCATCGGACAGAATCCGCTCCGGACCATCGTACTGGGAGAAACGTACAGTATTGTAAGTATTAGAATCCTCGATCGATAGGATAGGTACATGTATGTGTGAGTTATACGAAAGGACCTGACAGCCGATGTGGCAGTCGATAGGGACACCGGGAGATGGGGATGTCATGAATACAAGCAGCAGCAACTTGGCTAAAACAAAATGCGAAAACACGAGAGTACAGACTGTTTTAAGTGTGTACTGAAATTACAATAATATACGGGGTACATATTTAAATCCTACATTGGGGTACATTTCAGGCATGGGGCTCGGGGGATTATACACATCTGTCTGGTGTTAGAGGCCTGGAATGGAGATTGGTTGTGCACACGTGTGCGTGTTTATGTGTGTAGAAATACGTTTGGTGGGTGTTATATTGGAGACCCGGGGAGGGATATCAGGTATGTGTGTGCTAGTACAACTGTACAGTAAATTGTGATGGACGTTATTTTGGAGGTCCGGGGCTGGGACAAGAACTTGAACATTGTACATATGTAAGACACATTTATATCGTAAACAAATAGGTCAATTTTATATATGCATTTGCATTACTTTTTTCAGCGGAAAACAGGCTGCTTCCCAAAGCAGCAAAGTATCCCCCCCCCCCCCTCCTCCCAAGGTGAAGGGATAATAAGCAATATCTTCTAAATTTCAATAGTTATGTTGACCAAATCCCTGTAGGAACGGACTGCTGTAAAATGTAGCTAGAACATACACGGTAAATTCACAAAAATACAAAATACAGTATATCTTGTCCTTGTATGTAGAGGTGTATAAACAACAGCGCGGAAACGTAGCTGCACACAAATATATGACAGGACTGTTGCTGGATCAACAACACGCGTGTAAACGTGTGTATACTATATCGATCAGCATTACATTAGCATGATATCGATCTCCTTGCTGGACACAATTGTTGGGGATGGGCGGATGTTTTACAACGCGGGGCCTTGTGTAGAAAACAAAGCACACCCGGGTTAGTGGTCACTCACTTTCACGGTGCATATTTGAATTTTTTAAAGAACACAAAAGATTGTACTTGTGCAGGATTGGTACTGGAACAAGAGGTTATTGTAAAACAGGTATATATACACATGGTAACAACGCACCACTGATTCATATCGGCAAACATTTCTCAATGTCGACACGCAAATGGCCTGGGGAGAGGGAGTTCGGGATGAAAAGTCACTTCAAACCGCGAAGCACAGGTGAGTCTGCTGTTTTGTATGTGTGTTAGATCTGAGGAGTATGCTGTTAGGGTCAGGTATGAACACCTGATACACAGGTATAACGGGATGAGTTTTACTTGAGTGGACTTGTGATGATCAGCCCTCCTTTCAGGTAAGATTAGTGGGTACACATATATAAACATGTCTAGCTAATCAAAACCCCTGACGGAGCTTCAGATGTATATTTATTTAGTGTTGCTTGCTGGGGGTTTATATACCGACGTTCGCTACACGTAAGTTTTTGTTGCTGTTACATTTACTACACAAGTTTTATATTATATTTAGTGTTACGGTAAATTATATTGAATGCTTACATGTTGCAATCTACACGAACGCAGTCGTAATTGTCTGTCAGTGACGCCGAGATATGGATGCAAATGTCACGGTCGGATGGGATAATACACACATTCATAGACTCACATGATCCCGGATGGTCACTTGAGCATGTATATTTACTGTATATGGCATAAAGAGTGTTGAGAATACCTAATATGTATCCGACATTAGTTGATGTTTAGTTTTAGTGGACCCAGAGACCAGTTAGAGGGAGGGAAGGGGTGGACAGGGGTGGTTCGGTGGATTTTTTCAAAATTCCATTGGGAAGAGGGGTTAGGTTGTAAGAGAGAACTGACCCACTAGATTCAGGAGACGGAGGCTAGTCCGGGTAGGGTTACACTGACTTGTATATGGTATCAATATGTACGCACATGCATTAAGTAAACTATGTAGTCCCGTGAGCATGAGATATCAGACAGCATTCCGTATAGTACCTGTGGTGGATGGACATGCCCACAGGGACGTGAGAATGGGTTACAGTTTAGTATGTATGGACCTTAACTGATGTCTACAGAGTAATATAAGACGTTTTAGATAGTTTACACACTATTTGGGGTAATTCCTGTAGGAACTCTATCTAAATCAGAGATTTATAACGATAGAGAACTCTATCGTTTTAAATCTCTGATTTAGATAGAGTTCCTACAGGAATTATATTTGGGGTTGACATGATTTTGGAAAATTGTTTTCAGCCCCTAAAACGTCTGATATCACCCTAAATACATCAGTTGAGAGTCAAACAAAGCTAAATTCTAAAAGATCACCAGGTCCCTGTGGACGTTCCCTGCTTTGATGGCATGGCATGACAAGGATCATGACGGGAACTGTGGTGGTTATAATTAGCTTTGACAGGAGGGTGATGCGAGGATGACGTAAACAAAGGGTTAGAAGATTGACACGGTATTTATCGATTACCTGTATGTCTACGAAGTTGATTCATATTGCCGGAAAATCCTATTTGACCCAACTATTTAATATTGGAAGAGCGGGAGAGGGGGAAGGAAGGGGCAGTGATTATGTATCCGGTGACGGATTCGATACAGGAGGACGTCTACGTACGTTTTTGACCACTTACGTAGATCTGATTCAATTCTATTCAATTTATTGACGGATCCAAGGTGGCCTGTCTAGACCCTCTTCTGTTGTTATTTTTTGCGATGAAAATGCTGATTTCTTCACCTATCCTTTTATCCCCCCTCCCCACTCCCCCTACTCGGAGCTTTGCCTGGATCGTTGGCTGATCTTACTTGTCCAATTAATTCAATAATAAAAATAGGGGGAAAATTAAACACGAGTGAACACGTATATATATAACAGCCTAGCTACATCGGAGGTTATTGAGTAATACGAATTTTATACCGTGAGCAAAACTGATCTCCTTGGTTCTAATACAGTTTCATGAATATAAACAGATAGCCCACACATGTCTGTAAGATCCTGAGATTTAAGAATTCTAACGAGGATTTCTCCTTCAGATAGCTTGGTATTTATTATATACTCAGACGGATTCAATATAGTTGATTAGTACAGAACTCAAAGTAAACAAGGCTTTCATAAAACATACCTTTAAATACTAGCATATCTTTAAAGAAGTCCGTAATGTCTAAGTCTCGTTAGCTTGAAAAAGAAACATTATATAATGAACTACTTCAACACAATAAAACAGTTAGCTTATTATTCCAACGCTATATGTCAGGCGTAATTCAATTTGTTGGGCGGAAGATTTTGGGCCGGGATGGGAGTGGGTAAGGGATTAAATGGCGGGGAGGGGGGGGGGGGGGGGGGT